CCTTTTTTTTGGCTGGCGGTAAACAGTAGCTAGGTTATTACCGGAATCAAAGACATCTTTTTATGCAGACTGGGCGACTCACTGCCCCCCTTAGGCACAGCAATGCTCCTGAAATGATGCTCCTTCTGCATCACTTCAGGGGCATTGCGCTGCCGCGCGTTATGCCTAAGTTAGGCAGTCGTTATGAATATGCTGTGCAAACGCCCAAACTTTTAGGGGATTCTGGGACCTCAGGCACAGGCTGGATAAATTGGCAAGGTGTGACAGGGCCCTTAAAAGAAAATTCAATCTGGAAGATGCTTGGACCACCTGCAATGTCCCTCATTCAAGCTCCAGCCAATCAATGTTTGGCTGCACCTCCTCCAAATTCAGTCATCTTTTAAGATCTCCTTTATATAGCTCCTTGCATGCCAGTAAACTGTTACAGACCTACCCCAAATCTCTTCCCTTCTCAGTGGCTTATTTAACCACCACTGTCCTCTCCCCTAGGGGGAAGACTACACTAATCCTTGTCCTAATGTAGGTTACTCATCAAAGCAAATGTGAATTCATAGCATGGTTCTTCTGCCAGGGCCCGAGCGCCAAAGAACTTACTATATTTCATTCATTTCAATAAAACATTTCTAATTTCAGCTTTTCTCTGTGTTATTCACTCCATTGTTGAAATAACATTACTGTGGAAAGTCTTTTTTTCTGTAATTTCATGTTTGAAATGGTCAATGTGCCTATCACAACTCTCCATGCCCAAATTGAATAGACCTACGCTATCACCTTGTCTTCTCAGGTCACACCTGAGGAGAATCAAGTCATCCAACAGAGAAGAATGAGAGCTGTGGATATGGATTCATATGAGAGAAACAAATTCTAATGAGGATTTTTAACATATTCATGAAAGTTAATTCAGTAAGGGTTGGATTAACTGTAGATTTTCATGCCATACAATCTTCAGCTTCTGTGTCTTAAAGCCTCAAATTCTCAGCCACTCAAACACTTTAACATCCTGCAGTGATTTATTGGCCAGAAGCCTTTTTGTTCTTGAAATGCCTTGCACTTGTTTTGCATTTAAATGCTTTACGTGTGTCACAGTTTTAAAATTAGCTTGTCAAAACATGACAAAACCTCTCTTCTGTTTGTTCATGTTTTGTTTCTTTTTTATTTAGTTTTATCTGGCCGATTATGTTAGAGAAACTTCCTTTCAAACAAATTGTTACAGGAATGTCCAACAGCACTACATACCCTTTCTTTTTGTCATTTTTTTTGTCTTATGCCACTGTCACATCTTGACGATTTACCCAGCGTGTGCCCGACGTCCCAGAATCTCCTAAAACGCTGGCATAACTGGCTGAACTTTCTATGTATTTTTTCAATGTTGGGCGTATATTTAGAGTATTCATAATGAGTCCAGAGCTTATGTCCAATTACAGCTTAACTTCTGCATAACGCACCACAGCGTAATGCTGTTCAACGCTCGTCTGCAACACATCAGATACGTTGATATGCGTTGGAGAGAAGTTCTTGATAAGTTACGGAGAAGTTATGCTATACTCATAGGTTTTTTGATAAGCTAGACGCCAAGACTTAAGAGTAACTTACACTTAAAGCTACAGTGTGTAATTTTCAGCGACATCTAACGTCCAGACTGCAGACCACAGCAACATGAACATCTCCCCCCCACCGCTTCTCCCCCCCAACAGTACGGCGAGCGTTACGGGACAAAATGTCTTCCACGACGTCCGCATCACCTACCTTCTCAAGTGATGAGGTTTGTTTACATAGATCATTTTAATACTGCCATCTATTGTTCAGTACCGTCTCAGTTCATCTCTCTCAACTTGCCGTAGTTACTTTCGAGCGTAATGGGCGATCTCGCAATCGCTAGTTTGTTGGCTCTGCGCTGCCGTAGCGCAAAGATGTCTGCCTCCATGGCTGCGAGACCCGCTCCTATGTAATTATAAATAACGAATTCTAAGGCAACACAAATATTAAGGTTAAGAGGCTGAGCTCGTAGATGATGATAAATAACATAGTTATGTATAATATATTACATTTCTGACTGTATATCCCTGTAATTATTACACACTGTAGCTTTAACGTATGTCAACCATCAGATAACTGACCTGGAATTTATGGCCCACGTATGAGCATACGCTGGCATAAGAACTTGCAGTATGTCAACGTGTGCCAGCGTGTTCCAGCGTCTTTCAGCATGCTCATAACTTATACAAAACATACCCATAACTTATCCAACTTATGCCAGCGTTTTTGCCAGACTTTCCTTACATAAGGCATATGCTTTCTAAATTGTCAAGGTGTGACAGGGGTATTTGTATATCTGCAGTAAAGCAATCAAAGTTTAGCTTAGCAATACTTTAGATTATAAAATTTCTTTTGCTCAAAAAGTTGCACAGTGGCACACTTTCTAGCAGTGTTGCCTTGCCGCAATAAGGTCCAGGGTTAGATTATCAACCTGGGGTTTCTGGGTTTTGTCTGGGCTTCTCTGGCTTCCTCACAGAATCCAGAAACATGTTGAATTAGATTAACTGCTGCCTCTTATTTTGTCCTTTGGTGTTGTTTATCTCTGCCCTGTCTAGGTTGCACGCCCCCTTACACACATAGACTGCTGAAGATAAACACCAACTCCACAGTGAACTGATGGACAAGAAAGACAAGATGGATGGATAGCTCATCAAGTTAAACATGAGAAACTTTGTTCTTCAGTCACATTCATTGTCAGCTTCTCTGTTATAAATCGTCTTTAGATTTTATTTAAAACATAAAAGTAGTTTTTATCTTTTAATAATACCAAGAGAATTATTTATGAGTCCCTCTGATTCAATGTTGATATGAATAGAGTCGCAAAGTTTATGAACCTCTGCAAACAGTTTATTGAGGCAGCTGAAAACTAAATGGTCAACACAGATTTGGAAAATGATAATACTGTACAGAAAGTTTTTAAGCTGTAAAATTTGACAGTGATGGAATTAATCCAATCCATCCAATGATGATTTATTAAAAAAGTCATTAAAGTGGAACTACTTTCATATTTGGAATAATTAAACTGTATTGATGAAAATAGTTCATGGTAAATGTTTACAGTTCAACCCACAGTTGGATAAATGAAATATGGCAAAACCCAGCTCCATTCAACTGACCATTAAAAGTTTTATATTCTCAGTGCTTTATGTTTTACTCCCAAGTCTTATTTGGACCTTTTGTTCTAGTCTGTAGAGAAGGAATCATGAACTATCTTCTATGTATAAAAACGGAACTGCATTGCGTCATGACGAACATGAGACCGCTGTAGACTACGACTAATGAGCTAAGCATTTAGCCAGTCACAGCCTGGATAGAATATTTACCCATCATATTTTCAAGGTTATCTCAGTCTTGTTTTAGATTAATATTGATCACTGACCTTGTTCATTTTGAATTGCTCCAGGCAAAAAGCCTAACTCTGCCCAATCCTAAGTACATTGTTATTTTAATGCAATAACTTTCTCATAAAAATCTGTTATTCAATCAATATACCAAAACAGCAAGGATTTACTTTATGTTGCTAGTGAAGACCACTTGTTAGTTGTGAGCTACAACCTTGTTGCCATAGTAACATCAAAAGAGTAATGGGACAGCAGTGCACAAAGCATTTTCTATTGTTTTATGGTGTCACAATAACTCCACTGTTATTCTAAGGTACACTAGGAGTTCTATAACTTAACTAATTCTTAATCATATTGAGTTACTTTAACACAATTGTTTTATGTCCTACCCTGCTAACATGAAACAATTGTGTTAAAGATACTAAATACGATTAAATAAATGCTAAAAACGGCTGCATTATTTTTTTCAGTGTAATTGAGTATTGATGTAAAAAAGACCTCATGAAGACAAAGGAATTTAGGCTGGCGACGTCCCCTGGTACAGAGGAGAGGAGACCCCACCGAGCTTTCCCAGTCTGAGCTGTAATAATAGATTTACTAAATTATGTTTTTGCAGTAGAAACTTTATTTCAGAATAAAAAACAAAACAAAATTGTATTAGTTAGAATTACCCAAAATTGGTAATAGGTGTGGTGAAATGTTTACCAATTTTTAGTGGCATTTTGACATTCATCAGCTTGACTGAATATGTATTTATATTATCTGAAAGACATTTCTTCATCAAAATAACACAACTTCTGACTTAGAATAGGAATATGAAGACCTGAAATCCAGAATATTTATCATAGATATGAAGAATGTCATTTTTTTAAATGTTCATTTTAAACAGGTAAACATTTATTTTAATAATCATATTATGTAAAATAGTCTGTTGTAATCAAGATGACATTACAGGGAAAAAACTAGTTTATTGCTTGAATGTAGTGGATCAGCGTATTCAATTAGGGTTCAGTCACCTGTCAGCAGGTAAAGATGAAGTATAAAAATGTTCAAACAAGTAGGACCTGTGCACCGTCTCATGGGGTTCCTCCTCATTTTGATTCTGTCTTCCATTACACAGTAAATACTAAGTGGCTATTTGACAATGCAGTTGTTTTCTCTAATGCTGTTATCACATATCAATTTTCTCTCACCGATAATAGGTTCTGTTAAATAAAGTAAATAAAGTTCTGTAAAGCTGGGCATACAGTGTAAGATATTTTCAATCGTAGCACACAGCTACAGCTCAAACAGTACAACAAAACTGCACAACAAAAGTTCACAGCTCAGGATGTATGTTCTCACACTGTGCAGCTCGACGCTCTGATGCGATCTACCTGCTCACACCATACATCCAAAAACCACACATTGGACTCAGCGCAGAGAGATGGTGCTGGTCGGACTCAGCAATCTGGAAGAAGAAGAAGAAGAACTCCCTTGTCTGCACATGTGCAGTGCAGGAGGTTCTGGTAAATCAGCTCGCAGCTCTGCTTCAACAGCAGGATTTACCCACAACCACTTTAGAACAGCCAACTGAATTTCAAACATGTTTGATTTTCTCGCGAACTTACTGATCGGGAGATGGTCGCCCCCGTTTACACAACACGATACGTGATCAGGCAGAAAGTCAGCTCAATCAAAATTTTTTTTGCACAACTGGAAAATCAGCCCGAAAAGGGCAAAAAAATCATACAATGTTTGCCGGCTTTAAGGAGGTCTGTGTAATGCTGCCAGTTTGAGGAAGGTTAAGGTCGTAGATTAATGTGATGGATTGTAAAGTGAAACGGTAGCGCTCATTAAGATAACTTTCTGATTATAAAAAAGACATCTATACTTAATCTGAGAACCATCTACATTTAAATATTTATTTAATGCTGCTTATGTGTTTGTGTTTTTAACATCTATTTTTCTCTAATTGACCTAGTTAATGATTTTCTTTTTATTGTTTGCACAGAACTACGATAGAACCCTCCTGACTAAATCACAGACACCATGACCAAGTTAGCTTTAGGGAGAATGTTACTATGGTAAGACAAAGGTTCAATAAACTCTCTTTTTGTTTTCTTGATTTCACGAATTATACACTTTTCCATTAAACTTCGTGAAACAAATGTCAGGATTAGTAAATGCTGCTTGAATTAAGATACATGATATCGGTCTAGCTGATGACACCAAGAGCTTTTGTTTTCCCATAACAACGAGTTTGATTACAGAGGAGTTTTTGTTGTATGTTTCTTTTTTAAAAAGCTGGGAATCTTTATTTCATGTTGGGTGAAAGGATTTTTCAGCCATGGAAGCAAATGTTCCCCACATCCTGAAAGTCAAAAATACAAAATATCACAAATGATGGAGTAAAGATCTGAACAACAGAAGCATTGGGCTGCAAGGAACAGCCATCAAAAAAGGCAAGAATCTAGTCTGATCACTGTTATCCTGCCAAGAAAAACAAACAAATACTAAAACCTCTACATGGCAAATATGTGCTCTGCCTTAGCACATTGTAATCTTTAACACTAGTTGCATTGGCACCCTGCAGAATGTCATCTGACTGCTGATAATGTGTTACTGGCGTCATGATGACTTACTGTTCATTACACTGGCGCTGCAGAGCAATGTTCCGCATGGATCACTTCCATTTCAGACATGTATGAACTCTGTATACTGGGGTTAAGTGTAGAGGTGAGCTGGGTGGAGGAATTGTCCCTGTATATAACTGGATGAACAGTAATATACTATGTTCTCTAACCTCCTATGTCAATTTACATAGGAGCATAAAATATGTTTGTTTCTGATAAACTTTATTATAGAAATACATGGGCAAAATACATGTTAACTTGGCTTTCGAAACACTAAATAAACAGTATTGTTTATTGAAAGACCCTCAAAAAACACTCATGTCATCCCATTTTTCTTCTAAAAAATAAAAATCACCTTCATAAACACACAACTTTTACTTTACTTTTTTAACACCAAGCATACTATCTGCTCTATAGTTTTTGCCCAATACTTTCCTTAGGTCAGAGATCACACCTTTAAAATTCTAATCCCACATTTACATAGCTGTTTAGACCCCAAAGGCAGTTCTATAATAGACCTTTGTAATCTCTTTGGATGAGTTTCCACAAATTTTGCACTTCAATTCAGTCATTTTCGCAGATCCTTTCAAAGCTCCGTCAGCAAACTCTAATCTTCAGAATTCCACAGATCCTCTACGGGCATTTAAATGGCAGACTTTCGGGTTACTGGGGGGTAAATTATTAATAAACAGCAATAGCATTCTCAAAAAAAACCCAAACAAAACTCTTTAGTGAGGTACCGTTCCTGGCAGCAGGGTTATCATCATTGGCTGCTCCCCTGTGCTTTGTGCTGTCAGTTTAAATCTCATGCTCTCTCTGCTGCCTTGACCCCTCCACCTCTCTCATGGTCTGGTAGCATTAGGCGTCATTTATACTGAGCATTCAGTATCTGAGGAAGCCTGGGGCATGGCTAAAGTCCATCTCCATTGTGTTTTCTGTGTCTAAGTCACTGCTGGGTCCGCCAGGCCTAGTCAACACTAACTTATGCCAATTTAACATGTCTACCAGGAAGAAACGTAGAAGTCAGGTGGTGAAATGTTCTGAAGTACACTGGAAAATCTGCATCACTTGAAATGGATGGTATAGCTCTCAAAATCCATGAGCATCTTGCACTCTGTAGTTATGTGCTGGATTGTCTCAGGGGTCTCTTTGCACAGTCTGCACCTGGGGTCTTGTCTGGTCTGGTAGATCTGAGTCTCTATTGCTCTGGTGCTCAGGGTCTGCTCCTGAGCAGCCATGATGAGTGACTCTGGGCTGTCCTTCAGTCCGGCTTTGTCTAGCCATTGGTAGGAGTTCCTGATATCTGACACTTCGGCTATGTTTCGGTGGAACATCCCGTTTAGGGGCTTATCCTCCCATGACGGAACCTCCAGCACCTCATCTTCTGTTCCACTTTGTCTGAGACATTTACTGAGCCTGTCATTTGTTAGAGCCTTGTCCTTGATGTACTGATCGATCTTGGATGTTTCATCCTGGATAGTGGCTGTTACGCTCACTAATCCTCTGCCTCCTTCCTTACGGATGGTGTATATTCTCAGGGTGCTGGATTTGGGATGGTACCCTCCATGCATGTTTAGGAGCTTTTGTGTCTCAACATCTGTGGGCTGTATCTCATCCTTTGGCCAGCTTATTATTCCTGTAGGGTATCTGATTACTGATACAGTGTAGCTATTTATTGCCCGAGACTTGAGCTGGCTTCTTAGGACCTGCCTTACTCATTGGAGGTATTTGGCCGTAACTGCTTTCCTTGTTACCTCTCCAAGGTTGCCATTTGCTTGTGGGATTCTGAGGTACTTGTTACTGTCCTCAATGTCTGCTATTGTTCCTTCTGGGAGAGAGAGCCCCTCTGTGTGGACTACCTTCCCTCTCTTAGTCACCATCTGACCATCTGACCACGCTGTAGAATCGGGCGGTATGGATCAGTTAGTCGATGTCTTGCTCATTCTAAGCATACAGCTTGATGTCATCCATTTAGAGGAGGTGAATGACATACAGTTCATACTTTACAGGACTATAGAGCACACCTCACTATACGGTTAAGTTATTGAGGAGTGACAGTTAAAAAAATGGAGATACTGTATCCTCAATGGTTGATGCTTTAATAAAAGCGTTTTCCTCTTTAGACAAAAACTAGACCTACCGAAACTTAAATTGTCCCATCACACTGGAAAAACCATCTAGAAATTATTAAAAATGTCTTAAATTAAGTGTATTTACCCTTAATTTGAGTAGCTAAATACTTTGCCAATGGAATTAGTATTTTTACTCTTAAAATAAGATAATTAGATAATATGCACTTGAAACAAGACAATGCAATAGTTTTTTCTTATTTTAGATGTAAATGTCTTGTTCCCTTGGCAAAAGGTCTCTTTTACCTCCTGAATCAAAGAACAAATGAATTTATTTTAAGACTAAATGACTTATCTAGATTTAGATTTTTTCCAGTGCAAATATAATTGTCTCCTGGGATGTTGCTAATATTTTTATAGATAAAACGCTTCTCTGAAAGTTAATTAAGTCATAATTGCAGAAGGCTTTGATAAAACCAATGTTGGGTCCTAAACAAGGCTGAGCATTTATCCCATTCCATAGATCTTTGTTTGGACTAACTCAGCTTATTTTGAGCTATTTTTGATTTCCTTGTTAAGCCTTTACAATGACAGCAGTAATTGCAGCGGTAATGTAGAACTATACCTGCTTCAATGCATTTCCAACCAGACCACCAGAATACAATGTCAAATTACTGCTATACACTTGTGTGGAAGTGGAGTCA